CTCAGATCCTGCAGTCAGTCACATGAAGTCCACCTGCTGAAGTGGACAGACAGAAAGACAGACAGACAGGTGAAACAAACAGACAGAAAGGTGAGTGTGTCTCTAAACTCGTGTGTGTGTGTGTGTGTGTGTGTGTGTGTGTGTGTGTGTGTGTGTGTGTGTGTGTGTGTGTGTGTGTGTGTGTGTGTGTGTGTGTGTGGAAAACCGGTTTTCCAGTCAAATTTATGTAACATAAGTTTTTTGAATCTGAACAGTTTCGAACTGATTCTGCAGAGGTTAGAACATGAACCTCAAACTTCCTCTTACTGTTTGTCTCTTTATATCTGTCCCGCCCTCTGTTGGCTGTTGGGTTCTCTGGTGTTTTGTTATTCATAACCTCACTGAGCTAACTGTGATTTACGGAAGAGGATAAGGGCCATATAAGGAAACCGTTTATTGATGTGACCCAAAAGTCAAAATCATTTCTCAGAATAGTTACTTCTACTTTTTTACTACTTTAAATACTTTATTGATCCCAAATTGGGAAATGTTTGCGTTGCAGCAGTATTAAAAAAAAACAAAACAAGGCATTGCACATAAGCAGAAATAAACAATACTAGAAATTTAAAAAATCTCAAAATGGAACCAAAACGGCATTTTCTTAGAATTTGTACTTTTTTCAATTTTTTTTACTTTTTTTCAGAAGTTTTACTGTAATTTCCGATTCTTTACGTTTCCCGTTTATTTTTTTTAGTTTTGCCGAATTATGAACTTTTTCAGAATTTACTTTCTCAGAATATTTTTTTTCCATAATGTTCAGTTTCAGAACTTCTGACTTTCTTTCTCGGACTTCTTACTTTCTTTTCATAATGTTCACTTTTTTTGATCACATTCCAATTGTGTGTTTCTCATTTGGCTCTAACCCTCTTCCGTTGTCATTAAATAAGTCATGACTACAGAAACATGTTGAAAATCAGTAGCTTCTTGTGATCGGTTCTGATGATATTAAATCACTTCCTGTTGTGTTTCAGATGCAGGCTGTGATGATGTTGTTGTGTTGCTTCCGGTTGTGTTTCAGATGTTGTTGTTGTGTTTCAGATGGTGCTGTTGTTGTGTTGTTTCCTCTCCTCTCTGCTGGTTGTCATGGCAGCACCGGCTGCAGATGAGGTGAAGTTCCTCCCCGGCCTTCAGAAACAGCCGAGCTTCAGACACTTCTCTGGATATCTGAAAGTGGCCGACGGGAAGCATCTGCACTACTGGTGAGGACTGGGAGACTGTTAAGATAAGAAGTATTGATCCCAAGTTAGGACTGGTTTGCGTTGCAGCAGTACAATAAGGCATTGTACATTAGAGAAATGAAAAGACTAGAAATAAACAATCCAAAATGAAAAAAAGAGCATTAGGGCCACATAATTTTTTTTTTGGGGAGGATTTGAAAAAAAACTTTTTTCTCAGAACAAAAAAATACATATTTTTTTCAAATCCTCCCAAAAAAAATGATAATGTGGCCCTAATCCTCTTCCGTAACATTAAGTGTGTGAGGAATGGATTATTGAATATTAGATTGAACATAAATGTACAGTGAGTTTTTGGCATCTCTTAAGAGTCTGGGAAATGTAGTCTTTTATACTATATATATAAAGTGACAATATTTGTCCTTTTTGCAAGAGTGCTCTAACAGACTGTGTTCAGGTTGGTGGAGTCCCAGAAGGACCCGTCCTCAGACCCCCTGGTGCTGTGGCTGAACGGAGGCCCAGGATGCAGCTCTCTGGACGGACTGCTCACTGAGCACGGACCCTACCTGGTGGGTCACCTGAGAACAGCTTTCTACTGAAAATCTATAAATCTGATTGTTTAGAAACGTCTAGCACCAAAAAGCATTATGGGAGCATAGACTGTATAAAGCAGGCTTTTCATTTCAGAATTGTTACTTTTTCAGATGTTTTGCTTTGATTTCAGAATTTTACTTCTTTCTAGAATTTCTTTTTTTTAGAATTTTTCAGAATATTTCTTGCAATTGAGATGTGAAAAAAGTCAAATGTCTTTTTTTCCTCATCAATATATCTGATTGTTTAGAAACGTCTACCACCAAAAAGCAGCATGGGACTTTATAAAGTACGCTTTTAAATATCAGAATTTTTACTTTGCTTTCAGAATTTTAATATTTTCAGAATCTTTAGTATTTGTTTGTTTTTTAAATCAGAATTTTGACTTTTTTCAGACATTTGACTTTTTCCCAGAATCTTCACTTTTGACTATTTTTTGAATTTCTCACTTTCTTTCTCCGACTTCTCTTTCATGAGTCTCATCCCAATTTGATTGTTTAGAAACGTCTAGCACCAAAAAGCACTATGGGAGCATAGACTGTATAAAGGATGGGACACACTGACTTTAAATTCAGCTGTACGGATCAAATAAGTAAACGGTGATATTTACTGTAAACAACTCAATGTTTGCGTTCATATTGACATTATGGTAGTGAGACGACTAGGCAGCATCCGTGTATTTTAAAGAAGGTTTTCCAGAAGGTTTGACGCTCCGCTTGTCTTTCTGTTTCAGATCCAGGATGACGGAGCGACGCTGCAGTACAACCCGTACTCCTGGAACAAGGTGAGACTCAGAATCAGGTTTATCACCAGGTACACGTGTGAGGTATTTGACTTGATGTTGTGGTGCACACATAAAAGTAAAAGAGAAATTCAAAACACTGATAGAAAACTATTTTAAGAAAGCTATAATAGCATCATTTTTTTGTTATAGTTAAGCAGTATTTACATTGTTACTCTATCTATTTTTCTATAAAGTGAAGATTTGTTTACCTACTTTTGATCCATGCTCTGTATGCTGTTGAAGAAAACAAACTTTGAAATAAATAAATAAAGCAGTATTTACATTGAAATGCGGGCAGTCATGGGACCAAACCTAGCATCTCAATGTTGTTGTTGTGATTCCTGGAAGCTGATTGGTTCACGGTTTCCTTGCAGATTGCCAACGTGTTGTACCTGGAGTCTCCAGCAGGGGTCGGATTCTCGTACTCGGACGATAAAAACTACGTCACCAACGACACCGAGGTCAGTGACTCAGACCTCAGCTCCTGATTGGCTCTCAGACTGAGGCTTAGCTCCTGATTGGCTCTCGGACTGAGTCTCGGCTCCTGATTGGCTCTCGGACTGAGTCTCGGCTCCTGATTGGCTCTCGGACTGAGTCTCGGCTCCTGATTGGCTCTCGGACTGAGTCTCGGCTCCTGATTGGCTCTCGGACTGAGTCTCTGCTCCTGATTGGCTCTCGGACCGAGTCTCTGCTCCTGATTGGCTGTCGGACTGAGTCTCTGCTCCTGATTGGCTTTCGGACTGAGTCTCTGCTCCTGATTGGCTGTCGGACTGAGTCTCTGCTCCTGATTGGCTGTCGGACTGAGTCTCTGCTCCTGATTGGCTG